AAGTCACTGCCACAAGAAGGACAAAGTCTCAACAAGAATGCAAAATGATCAAACAATCCGTACAAATGGGCGATTTAGCAAATTTCTTACAACACTTGATATAATCCGAATATAACAATATAATTCGAAGACAAGAAAAATAAAATATCAGGTTATTTCAACATATTTCCAGCAAGCAAAAAGAGTACAAGTTTATACACAAACCTTGGTGTTTTACCACAAAACAGTTCAATCATAACTTGGGGACGTTCGAATCGTCTACGCCGTAAACAAACCAAATCTGTCCACTTCCTCAAACACTTCCCCGTTGATTTTTTTCAAGGATTTATATACCTTAAATACATAATCAAATATCTAAATAAGTTCAATGATTTAACAAGTCAACTAAACATGATATTGGTGAAAATTACCCAAAAACGTTTGAAACAGAAATTCTGGACAGTATCACTGTTACGAGTTGTGACTCAGTTTTGAAGATCTATACGGACAAACTAGACTTTATAGTATTCACAAAAGTTGTAGATCTATGTCTTACCGTTTCTAAACATCTTGAATCACCAACATATCAATTTTGAACAAACAGTTATGCTAAAATTACTAACAGCAGTACATGAAGTATTTCAAGAACTGAAAATCTGGGCAGCACCTGTCCTGTACTTTTTGACCCTTTTTCAGGTATATACCAACAAAACTATATTTGGATTCCTTCATAAAAATTATAGATTTATGAAATACCTTTCCAGAAAATCCTGGATCACTTAAATCGGAGCTCTGTACAAAATAATATGTAGAAAATACTAGTAGGTGTCTAGTATAAAAACGAGTTTAGAAACTTACCAAGAGGAGCAACTTGATCTTCACCAAAAACGAATTTTGTGCGTTGATTTAGTAGAAATCCATGGTTTTTTTTTGATGAAACTTCAGCTTCTTGTTCTTACGGAGGAGAGAGAGATAGAGATAGAGAGATAGAGATAGAAAGATAGAGATAGAAAGAGAGAGAGAGGTAGATAGTTATTCTTCTTTGTTTCTGAAGAGTAGAAGAATAGGGAGTTTATGGACAGATATGAAATAAAATGGTTCTCCAACTACTAAATATTCTTAGCTAAATACAAAAGGTTGGAAACTCAAAACTTAATTATATACTATATTTACTAACAACTCGTCAAAATAATATTAAGTGTTACATATAGCAACACCATGGAACTTCATTGCCAATATTAACACAACCTAAAGTAAGAAATTTTCATATATTGACCATTCTATATTTAGGAAGTGCAAAGTAAAACATTTCCTCGTTATAAAAAAAATGCTCAATCAAGAATGCAAATATTGTAAAATAATTTGGGGTGTTACACTGCATTTGTGTAAGAGGCTGTTTCCACGGCTCGAACCCGTGACCTCCTGATCACATGCCAACAATTTTACTACTTACGTCGAAGCTCACCTTCAGGCTTATGACTAAATCATGGATAAGATTTTATTGAGTGTCTCCCATTTATTTTGTATTTGCAACTTATAATAAATTCTTAGAATATACCATTGGACATGTTCATTTTGGTCTGCAGGGAACAGAAGATGAAGTAGTTGATTTTTCACATGGTAAAAAACTTTGGGAGCTCAGTAAAATGAAGTATGAACCCTTGTGGATAAATGGAGGAAATCATTGTGACTTACAAGTCTTTCCTCAGTTCTTTACTCATCTCAAAAAGTTCATAACTTCAGTGGAAAGACAATCAGATCGCCAAACTATTGAGGAAAGTATAATTGACTTAAATTATACTCTTGATATTACAAATGAAATTAAGTGCAGACCAAGGATTGAAGAGATAGAGAAGTCAAGAATCAGTACTGAACATAAAGAGATCATTGCAATAAGGCCTAGCACAGACAGAAGAGTACTAAAGCCAAGAAATAGTGTTGACAAGAGGGAAAAACTAAGAAAAAGTATGGATTACTTTGGAAATCAAGAATTAGCACTGATCTAGCTGAGAGAGGGAGGAACAACATCGACCGGTAAAGAATTTTTACACTATCAATATATATTAACATGTTATAGCAGTGGACCTACTTTATTTTCCACGTTAAGTAATTTCAGTTTACTTATAATTATCTTGACCTGATAGGCTGATAGTGTAAAATTCTTTTGCATGCGGCACGTTTACTTATGGTCTTACAATATGATTAGCAATATCATCATGCTGTATTTTGACTATTGATTTGGACTGATTGCAGGTTTGGAGATATGATGAGATCAGTAGCATATTGCAATATTGACTGTTTGAAGCAGACACTATCTAAGGAAGACTAATCCAATTGGTGTCTTTAAATTGTTATTCCTGTTAGTGTCTGGAAAAGCAATATTTGCCTTTTCTTTCCCTTTGTTTGAATTTCTGTTAATTCTTGGAACAACGATTAAGTTGTCTCTGTGTGAACTATAGGTCACGGGTTCGAGCTATGGAAACAACCATTAATGTTTGCTTTAGGGTAGACTGTCTACATCACACCCTTTGAGGTACAGTTCTTCATTGACATAAATACGGGATGCTTGGTGCATTTTCTTTTCCTTTCTTGTGTAAACTGTGAGTGGCACGCTACAACAAAAGCAAAAGGAAAAGGGAAAAGAAGAAGAGGTATGTAAAGGATAGAAAGGTGAAATTGAAGCCATTTGCATAATGTATGGTCCACATTGAATATTATTTCATTACCTACATGTTTGTGATTTGAATTTGTCTTCTTTTTTCGAATTTTAGTATTGGTCCCTACATTTGCAGTCCATTTTTTAAGATTGTTATTTCTTTTGGAAACATTCTTCACATTCTTTATCATGCAAATGATTTCTGGACCCCCCTCCCCCCCTACTTACATAATTTTTGTTCTAAACTTTGTTTTTAAGATTAGAAGATCTAAAATAAAGAAGCAAAAGCAAGACAAAGTGATTAAAGAGCTAGTAAATGAGGTTCTTAATTATAAATAGAAGAAGAATATGCTTTTATACTCCAGAATTTGCTTTTTAAAGGGGGCCACAAAGATCATGATTTCAACGTTGGGGAATGGGTTGGGGACAACCTAAATGGAGTAGCACATTTACTATCCATTGACAAAGAAAAAGCAAAGGAGAGATCTTATCAATGCAATATTCCAAAATCTTGTTTTATAACAAACATTTGACCATGATTTTGATTTGATAGCTTGGTTAGCATTTCCCAGGATAAGGTGTACCCCCATCCCATACGAGTCTGAAACATTTTTTATGCTTTTTTGGACAAAAAATACATTTTTAATGCTAAAAAAATTACATAACTAGGTAATATTGTGTTTTACTAATTCGCAGTACTATACTGCGTTTTACTTAAAATCTGGGCCCAACTATATTTTATTAAAATAATTCGCAGTACTATATTGCGTTTTAACTAAAACACAGTATAATACTGCGAATTGCTTTAATAAAATAAAGCCTCATCTTCTTAAAACGCAGTATAATACTGCGAATTGCTATAATAAAATAAAGCCCCTTATTCTTCCTTGGACCACAGAACCGACGCACCCCATTAAAAAATTTCGGATTCTGCTGGTCCCCCCCCTCCCCCCGCGTCAAAGTTTTAAAATTTTTTTTTAGGCCCCACCCGTCACCTAAAGAGCAAGGAGTGTAGGTCCCACACACAAGACAAGATTTGGATTCCTTCTTTCGGGTGCAAAAATTCGATTTCAATCAAATTCAAAAAACTTAAATCGAGGTATTTCGATTTTGTTTATGTCGAAACTCGTATAGTACATGCATATTTGTATTGTTTAATGTGTTTCCATGTTAATTTGTGTTATGTTTGTGTTTAAATTTGTATCTTATTTATACCCGGATTGATTTATTAGCTTTGGTACAAAAAATTGTTAAAATTTGATAAATTATTTGTATTGTTAAAAAATTAATATTATTTATTTTGTTTGTTGTTCATATTTGTATTTTATGTTAATTATTTTTATATGTAATAGTGACCTTTTAGCATAGTAAAATAAATAGTCTTTTAGCGTAGTAAAATATAGAGCCTTTTATGTAGTAAAATATAGAGCCTTTTAGCGTAGTAAAATATAGAGCCTTTTAGCGTAGTAAAATGTAGAACCTTTTAGCGTAGAGTCTATGTAGTTTAAGTATGTAGTAACTTAAACTCTATCCAATTACACTTTACAAAATTAATTATTTAATTTATAACAATAAACTTACAAAAGTAACAAATTAATATATGTTGTAAAATTAACTCTAATATCGAGCCTGGAGCCCATACATAATTATTCAGTTTAATTTTAAAAATAATTAATTATTTAATTTATTAAGCTAACATAATTCTAAAAATGTTGAAATTGACACGCATAATAATTAAGGATAACTCGGTGCTACCGGGCCTCAAAAATCAAGCTTGGAACCCAGACATAATTATTCAGTCCAATTTTAAACATAATTAATTATTTAATTTATTAAGCTAACAAAATTATAAAAAATGTTGAACTTGACACGCATAATAATTAAGGATAACTTGGTGCTACCGGGCCTCAAATATCGAGCCTGGAATCCATACATAATTATTCAGTCCAATATTAAACATAATTAATTATTTAATTCCTTAAACTAACACACACAATTAATTTTGTTTAAATTATAGTAGACGACATGGACTTTCCTCCGCCTGCGCATCCTGGACCTGCCGAGGATCAGCTACTAGTGTTGCAGGGCGACCATAGGTCCTCCTTTGTATGGGAGGGACAACTATCGATGCAGGCTCTACGCCCCAGGAGACCTAACGATTTGTGGGAATTCATCGTGGAGCATCCTTTCCATGCCCGCGTAGTCGCGCGCCTACAGGCTACGGGTTTCTATGCGATTTTTGAGCTTGGACGGATGCAACTTGATTGGTCTCTCATCACGGCCTTGGTAGAGCGGTGGCGACCGGAGACACGCACTTTTCATTGCCCACTGGAGAGGCCACCATCACGCTGGAGGATGTTCGGGTTTTGTACGGGCTATGCGTAGATGGACGGGCCGTGGCGTTGCCCCAGTACATTAGATCCATGACGCGTGCACAATTTTTGGATATGATAGGGAATTTTACTGGTTATAGACATCAGGGTGACGCTGGGGGCAGTTGCGTTGCTCTGTCAGCCATTAGAGATCATATGGCGTTTTTGCACACAGACATTACCGGCGAGACGGAGAATCTCGATATTGAGAGGTACACACGGTTGGCGCTGCTCCTACCTTTCGGGTATGTCTTGTTCCCGAACACTTCAGGGAGTAAAGTGAGTATGCGCTTTCTCCATCATCTTCAGCAGCTGGATGATTTACCCCAGTACAGCTGAGGTGCTGTTGTTCTCGCATACCTGTATAGGAGCATGTGTTGGGCGAGCATGGGCCCAGCGGTGGACATATATGGTTTTATTCCCCTCCTAGAGGTGACAATATTTTCGAATACTTTGTTCATTACTCCGAATTCTATATGGTCGAAATGACTCATAAATTTTACATCAACCTTTTATATTAGGTTTGGGCCTGGTAGTGGATCATGCCGTTGCAGCCACCTCTACCACCACTTGCGCATGGTGAGGCTTATCCGTTTCTTCCTCTAGCTTCTAGGTGGATTCTCCGGCGTGGGAACTATCGAGAGACTGATGCTCATCATAATCTCCTCCTTATCAGGGATGTGATAGATATGCTGGTGGACGGACAGGTAAATATGTACCTACACTTACTTGTTTTAAATTGAGTTTTGTTGCGCATACTCACTTTTATGTTATTTTTTGGTAGTTCATCTAGACGTCATACAACGACGAGTTGCTAGCTCAGCTGCCGTTTATTGCTCAATCGATCGACTGCTTTGGAGCACCTCCGTCCCGATGATCTTCTTCGATATGGTTGAGTATCATGCCACAGAGCGTGTGCTTCGCCAGTTCCACCGTCCCCAACCTATACCGGGGGAGCCTGGATGGGTGGCTACACACTATCAGCGGGATGACCGTGCCACCTGGACGTTATATATATAGGATGGCTAGAGCAGCAGGTCCATATTTGGGAGGAGCGAGCTCACCGTATTCCGCCAGCACCTACATTTACCCAGGAGGCCACTATTCATCTGTATGCGTCATGGTACCGCCGTCACACCCGACTGATTATCGGGAACCCCATTCATGTACTTGGCGAGTGCTACAGACCATACGCCGGGAGGCACGAGGCACTGGTATTTGTTGGCTTCTTAATATCGTATAATTGTGATATAGCGTTATTTAATTAATATTTTAAATGTTTCACAGGCTATTGGGCATCATCACCTCTACCAGTTGGGACAGGACATGCAACAGCATACCGACATCCTACAGTCATTGACTATGGCCGGCGGGTGGCACAGTTGGCTCGTCAGACCCTGTTTCAGGCAAGAGATGCCGCGAGGTTGGACCACGAGGCTCAGTATGCGGCGCTAGAGGACTACCATCGGGGTAGGGGTGTCCCACGAGGAAGAGGTAGGGCACGAGGGAGGGGTGCCCCACGGGGTCGCGGGGCACGGCGAGGAGGTAGTCCCCAGTGTCATACCTCCTTTTTCACCCGCGCCCCCGCAAGAAGGGCGCAGAGGGGAGTTTTTCCAATTAAAGGATAATCGAAACGGGATTTATTTATTTATTTCAGAGTCGCCACTTGGGAGATTTATGGTGTCCCAAGTCACCGGTTGAATCACGAATCAAGGAAAAGAATGACTCTGTTTAACAGTCTACGCACCAGAAATCCGAATAAGGAATTCTGTTAACCCGGGAGAAGGCGTTAGGCATTCCCGAGTTCCGCGGTTCTAGCACGGTCGCTCAACTGTCATATTCGGCTTGATTATCTGATTTTATACAATTATGAACCTACGTGCAAATTTTAACTATTTACCGCTTTGTTATTATTTATTCAAAGAATTGCAACGTCATGAGAATACATCTCGAATTGCGCTACATAAATGTACCCGTAATTTTTGATACATTCCAACTTCGTTGAGATTTGGATTTGGGTCACATAAATGTGCACCCGAGTTTAGGAAAATAACATTATTAAATACACGCCTAAAGACTAACGCGTTGTTATTTTGAGAAAAGCCGTAATATTCTCTATGCGGCCTGTCTCAAAATCTAAGCATTCGAAATAACTATCCGTTGAGGGCCCCGCAAGTTGTGTATTCTTGTTTGTCGAAGCTCGTCTCATTCATTATTTTTAAAGGAATTTGCAACGTAATGGACATGCATCTCGAACCACGTCACAATCAATGCACCCGTGATTAGCGACACATTTCGACTCCGTTGAGATTTGGATTTGGGTCACATAAATGTGCACCCGAGTTTAAGAAAATAACATTATTAAATACGCGCCTAAAGCGACTAGCGTATCATTATTTTGGGTAGGGACGTAAAATTTGCTAAACGGCCCGTCCCAGAATCTAAGTATTTAATACATATATTTAATGAGGGCCCCGCTATTTATATGTTTATCTAGCGAGGCTCTTCTCATTTATTTTAAAAGGACAATCCTAAAGTGACTACATTTTTATTAAG